CAATCCAAGCCAGGACTGCTTTGCAAGCGGGGCACCCCTTAGAACTGTCTGTCCGGGGTGGGGGTCGGGTCCCTTTAAGCACAGCCCTCGGCTAGCCTGAGACAGCAGCTCCACGCTCTAAGTCCTCATCTGATGCCCTGCTGGCACTGCTTCCGGCCATCCTTAACTTCGGTTCAGGGTCCACTCATTGTGGACATGCTAGTTCGAATTAGCAAAATGCTAGTTCGAACTAGTTTTTAGGTCTCGATGCACTAGTTCGAATTAGCTTAGTTCGAATTAACTAATTCGAATTAAGTTAGTTCGAATTAGTGCTGTCGTGTAGACATACCCTAATCTATCATGGGATAAGAAGGAAGGTCCTCTCATATAACAGTGACTAGTTACATTATAGGAAACAAAAAGTAGGAATAAATGATAATTTTTCAGAATGGAGAGAGGTAAACAGCAGCGTCTCCTGGGGGCAGTTCTCTCTACGGGACCTGTGCTGTTGAACATATTCATGAATGTTTTGGGAAAAGGAGCAAATAGTGAAGCACAAAAATGTAAGGTGATACAGAATTTCTCAAGATAGTTAAATCCAGAACTGGCTGCTGAGATTATTCAAGGAATCTCACAAAAGGCAGTAAAATGACAGATGAAATTCAGCTACGATCAATAAAACACACTGGAAAACATAATCCCAACTATACATACAAATCGATTAGAGCTAAATTAGCTGGGGCCACTCAAAAACAGATTTTGGAATCACTGTGGATCGTTCTCTGAAAACATTGCCTCAATGTGCAGTCTCAGTCAAAAAAGCAAACAGAATGTTATGAAACATTCGGAAAGGGATTGATCAGACATAATATGTCACTATATAAATCTGTGGTAGCCAGAGCTTGAATACTGTGTGCACTTTCAGTCATCTCATCTCAAAAGAGATATATTAGAATTGGGAAAGGTACAGAAACGAGCAACAAAAATAGGTAAACTATGGATTGCTTTCATATAAGGCCAGTTCTAAAAGGACTGAAAAAATGTGGACACATTGGAGAGGGTTCAGCGGAGGACGACCAAAATGATTAGGGGACTGGAGCACATGACCTATGAGGAGAGGCTGAGGAATTTGGGTTTGTTTAGTATGCAGAAGCGAAGACCGAGGGGGGATTTGAGAGCAGCCTTCAGCTTCCTGAAGGGAGGTTCCAAAGAATCATAGAATCATAGGACTGGAAGGGACCTCGAGAGGTCATCGAGTCCAGCCCCCCGCCCTCAAGGCAGGACCACGCTCCGTCTACACCATTCCTGACAGATGTCTATCTAACCTGTTCTTAAATATCTCCAGAGAGGGAGATTCCACCACCTCCCTTGGCAATTTATTCCAATATTTGACCACCCTGACAGTTAGGAATTTTTTCCTAATGTCCAATCTAAACCTCCCCTGCTGCACTTTAAGCCCATTACTCCTTGTCCTGTCCTCAGAAACCAAGAGAAACAAATTTTCTCCTTCCTCCTTGTGACACCCTTTTAGATATTTGAAAACCACTATCATGTCCCCCCTTAATCTTCGTTTTTCCAAACTAAACAAGCCCAGTTCATGAAGCCTGGCTTCATAGGTCATGCTCTCTAGACCTTTAATCATTCTTGTCGCTCTTCTCTGTACCCTTTCCAATTTCTCCACATCTTTCTTGAAATGTGGCGCCCAGAACTGGACACAGTACTCCAGCTGAGGCCTAACTAGTGCAGAATAGAGCGGCAGAATGACTTCACGAGTTCTTTTTTCCAAATTAAACAAGCCCAGTTCATGAAGCCTGGCTTCATAGGTCATGTTCTCTAAACCTTTAATTATTCTTGTTGCTCTTCTCTGTACCCTTTCCAATTTCTCCACATCTTTCTTGAAATGTGGTGCCCAGAACTGGACACAGTACTCCAGTTGAGGCCTAACTAGTGCAGAGTAGAGCGGCAGAAT